ACACGTTTCGTGGCCCCATAGGGAGCTCCACCGAAGGCCCCATGGCTGCCGTCCGCATGCGTCCCGCACACCCATTTCGGCACACCCCTCACACGTTTCGTGGCCCCACAGGGAGCTCCACCGAAGGCCCCAGTGCTGCCGTCCGCATGCGTCCCGCACACCCATTTCGGCACACCCCTCACACGTTTCGTGGCCCCACAGGGAGCTCCACCGAAGGCCCCATGGCTGCCGTCCGCATGCGTCCCGCACACCCATTTCGGCACACCCCTCACACGTTTCGTGGCCCCACAGGGAGCTCCACCGAAGGCCCCAGTGCTGCCGTCCGCATGCGTCCCGCACACCCATTTCGGCACACCCCTCACACGTTTCGTGGCCCCATAGGGAGCTCCACCGAAGGCCCCATGGCTGCCGTCCGCATGCGTCCCGCACACCCATTTCGGCACACCCCTCACACGTTTCGTGGCCCCACAGGGAGCTCCACCGAAGGCCCCAGTGCTGCCGTCCGCATGCGTCCCGCACACCAGGTGTGTGGCGTGCCGACATGGGCGTCGCGGCGCGCGGGCGCTGCCGTCGGGGTTCCCAGGGAAGCCCCCTGCAGAGGCGACGCTCAGAGTCACGAGTACCGAGAGTCACGCAGACCCAAACTGTTCACAGTCGTATACATACATTTACACTGGGCGTATCCATGCACGCATTCATGCGAATAGAATCAATCGCGCGCAGATTCATTCATAATCAGACTCGATCGCGATCCGACTCGCACGCGCTCAAGCTTTCATATTCGGACCTATCGTCTTCGTTCGTGTTGTGTACACTGCCACGCATTTCGGCACACCCCTCATACGGCTCGTGGCCCCATAGGGAGCGCCACCGAAGAAGATATTCACAATTGCGGTACTTTCAACTGCATATGGTTGGGTCCTTCGCCAGGCTAATTTCGTAGAGGCTGTCAATCGGAATCCTGTCGTAGAGGCTCTCAATAGGAATCCTTGTGTATTGACTTGCATTAGGAAGCTCTCAATAGGAATCCTTTCGTCGATGCTCTCTATAGGAATTATGTTGCTCAGGCTCTCACTAGAAATCTATATGTTCTGGGTTTCAAAAGGAATCTTTTGTATTGGCTTTCCAAATGAATCCTTTCTGTATGGGCTCTCAATAAGGATCCTTTTGTAGAGGCTTTCAGTAAGAATCATTTTGTAAAGGCTCTCAACAGGAATCCTGTTGTAGAGGCTCTCAATAGGAATTCTTTTGTAGAAGCTCTCAGCAGGAATCCTTGTGCACATGCTCTCCATAAGAATCCATGTGCATTGGGCTTCAATAGGAATCCTTTTGCATTGGCTTTGAATATGAATCCTTCCTGTAGAGGCTCTCAATAGGAATCCTTCTGTAGATGTTTTCAATGCGAATCATTTCGTTCAGGCTCAAAATCGGAATCCTTTTGTAGAGGCTCTCAATAGGAATCATGTCGTAGAGGCTCTCAATCGGAATCCTTGTGTAGAGGCTCTCAATGGGAATCCTTTTTGTGGAGGCTCTCAATAGGAATCCTTTTGTATTGGCTTTCAATCGGAATCCTTTTGTATTGGCTTTCAATAGCAATCCTTTTGTATTTGCTTTCAATCGGAATCATTACGTAGAGGCTCTCAGTTGGAAGGTTCCAGGACTCCTGGATTCTTCCTGAGGAAAGTTTTAGGAAGGTTGTTTTGGAAGGTTCCCGGAACCCTGGATTCTTCCTGCGGAAGGTTTTAGGTAGGTTTTTAAGAAGGTGAAAAAATCCAAGATTTTTCCTGACGAAGGTTTTAGGAAGGTTTTTTGGGAACGCTCCAGGAATCCTGGTTTTAGGACGGTTTTTGTTTAATGGTTCCGGGAATCCTGGAATCTTCCTGACGAAGGTTTGAAAATGGTTTCTGGAAGGTTCCAAGAATCTTGGATTCTTCGTGGGCAAGGTTTTAGGACGGTCTTTTGTAGAGGCTCTCAATAAGAATCCGGCTTCCAGTGGGAATCCTTGTTGTAGTTGTTGTAGAAGCTCTCAGTAGGAATCCTGATGTAGTGGCTTTCAATAGGAATCCTGATGTAGAGGCTCTCAAGAAGAATCCTTCTGTTTAGGCTCTCAATAGGAATCCTTTTTGCACCGGCTGTCGGTAAGAATCCATTTGTATTGGGATCCAAGAGGAATCCTTTTGCATTGGCTTTGAATAAGACTCATTGTTGTAGAAACTCTTGATAGGAATCCTTGTGCACAGGCTCTCAAAAGGAATCTTTTTGTTGAGGCTCTCAATAAGAATCCTTTTTGCGGGGGCTCTCAATCGGAATCATTTCGTAGAGGCTCTCAATAGGAATCCTTTCGTGGAGGCTCTCAATAGGAATCCTTCTGTATTGGCTTTCAATCGGAATCCGTTCGTAGAAGCTCTCAGTTGGCAGGTTCCAGGAATCCTGGACTATTCCTGAGGATGGTTTTCACAAGGTGTTCTGGAAGGTTCCAGGAATCCTGGATTCTTCCTGAGGAAGGTTTTGGTAAGGTTTTTTGAAAGGTTCCAGGAATCCTGGATTCTTCCTGGGGAAGGTTTTAGGAAGGTTGTGTTGGAAGGTTCCAGGGATCCTGGATTCTTCCTGGGGCAGGTTTCAGGTAGGTTTGTTTTGGAAGGTTTCAGGAATACTGGATTCTTCGTGAGGAGGGTTTAAGAAAGGTTTTTGGGGAAGGTTCCAGGAATCCTAGATCCTTCCTGAGGAAGGTGTTAGGAAGGTTTTTGTTTGAAGGTTCCAGGAATCCTGGGTTCTTCCTGAGGAAGGTTTTAGGAAGGTTTATTGGAAATTTCAAGAAATCCTGGATTCTTCCTAAATAAGGTTTTAGGAAGGTAAAAGATTTCGATCGGAGTCCTTCTTTAGAGGCTCTCAATAGGAATCCATGTTGCAGAGGCTTTCAACAGGAATCCTTTGGTAGAAAACACAATGGCCACTGGGCAGGGGGGATCAACAGCAACCTTAATTTCAAATGAAACTTCAAGCAAAAACTGTCCATCACCCGTTGCCCCCTACAAGAGGCCACAAGAGGCCACACCACGCCTCCAAGATTACTTCCAAGCGGCCCCGAAAAAAACCCAAACAGCCAGAAGATGATCCCAGACGCCGAGACCACCCAAAGGCTGCTTCAACACGGCCCAGGACTCAGCCAAGGCAGCCCCAAAAGGCTCCCGAGACAGCATCAGAATCTGTCACCCCAAAACAAACTGCCCCAAGACCTGCCCCCGACGGCCACAAAAATCTTCCCGTCGGCTCAATGACCCCCAGCATGCTCCAAAAAGCCTCAACAATCCTCCAAGAGCTCGCCAGCAAGCTCCCGGGGGGGGGCAACAGAAACTTCCAGCCCGCTGCCAGAGGCCTCCCATATGGGGTCAAAGTAGATGGGGTCGAAGGACTGCGCCGCATCGCCGATGCATCATATCTATATCTATATATACATATATGTATATATATATACATGTACATGTACAAATGCATAAACATAAACATACGCATGAACATATACATATGCATGTGAATATGCATACATCTATACATATACAAATACATCTGCATGCACATGTACATATACATGTACATGTACATAAACATATACATACACACATACATATACCTATGCATATATACATATATATACGTATGCATAAACATATAAATATACCTACACATATACATATACATATACGTATACATATACGTATGCATATACGTATACATATACACATGCATATCCAAATATGCATACATGTACACATGCATAGACATGTACAGTTACATTTGTATACTTATACATATATATGAATATATATATATATATTATATATATATATATATATATATATATATATCATATACACGTCAACAACTAAAAATACATATACATATACACATACATGTACATATATATACGCACATATGCATATACATATGTATATGCACATACATACACATATGGCTGCACCAATACTTATACATATACATGTACATGTACATAAACATATACAAAAGCCTGCACACATACACAATCATACGCATATACATCTACATATGCATATGCACATGCGTGTGCATAAACAAATACAAATGCATACATATATCTGTGTACATATATATGTATGTACATACATACATACATACACATGCATACTCATACACATACAAGTATACAAATGCATCTGCAATGCTAGATGTATATATATATATACATACATTGTTATATGTATATATGTATATGCATGTGCATACTCGTTTACACATACATATACATATACATAGACATATATAGATATGCCTATACATATGCGTATGCATATACTTATACATAAACGTAAGCAGGTACACACTCATTTACACAAACATACACATATACAATATCATATACATAAACTGGTATATATATACCTATGCACACATACAAACGTACATACATGCATACAGACATACAGACATACAGGCATACATGTGTGTATATATACATACATACATACATGCGTATATATATATATATATGTATATACATATATGTGTATATCTATATAAGTATACATCTATATAAGTGCGATGCATCGGCAACGTCGGCGATGCAGCGGCGCCGCTGGCGCGGAGAAAATCGACCTCCACATCAAACCGCATCGCCGATACATCGACAAAAAGGCTAAACACTCCTCAAAGAGCTCGCCTGCAGGCTCCCCGGGGGCCATGGGAAGTTTACGGCCCCCTGCTCTCCTGAGCAACGTTTAACCGATCCCTATCCCCACTGGCGTAGCTTGGGCCCCACTGGCCGATTTACCACCCTTGATGCGGAAATTGGCTGTTCCCTGCGGGCTCCGAGGGGCATACCATATCCCCGGCTGGGGTGGTTGGATGGTGGGGATCGGGATGGGGGTGGGGATGTGGACCGGGAACATCGATACTGACCCTGCCCTCCCCCCGCCAGGCGGCCCGCAGCGAATCTGCGGCCAGAGGCTGGGAACGACCCACCG